CTGGAAAGCTATATTTGAGGTCAAATGTGATGTAGCTCCTGGTTGGGGTTGCAAATTAAGGAAGGAACTAGCATTCGGCTCTGAAGGCTGACTGCTTACAGCTGCAAAGTTTTGCTCAGGAAGCTGACCAGGATCTGAGAAGGGAGTAGCAGGTTGGTCGCTGACGAACGAATAAGTTGGCATGGATGCTGCGCTAGACAAAGGTCCAGAGGGAGGTAGAATATCTGCCAGTATATCAATTTCAGGGTCTGGAAGAGAGGTTGATGATTGAAGAAACTGCGAGTTTGATGTTCCTTGCAAGCCGGCTCCGTTAGATGCACCAGTCGAAGCAGAAAATGTATTACCAAATTCAGAATTGGAGACGTGGTATGATTCCGAGATAGCTCCTTGGGGTTGTCCAAGGTCTTGGTGCAGAGAAGACTGGAGAGGATCAGTCATAGCAGAAGAATGAGATTGAGGAGCACCATCATTACAAAGCATAGCTTTAAAAGGAGCGTCACCAAAAGGATCTTCAAAACTCTGCATGTAAATAATTCGGTAGTGATCAATCCAGATTCAGTTCAACTAAATCATCTATCTTTTTGGCCTCGATTAGAAAAAAAATTGGAAAATGTAAATTTAGTTGCAATCAAGATTGCCTCCAGAGTGGCATACATACGTTAATTTTACCAAGGTGGACACCTTTACAACTTTCTAATATGAATGAAAGAACTTCAAAACCATCATCTTATACCTGATTATTGATATTAGGTACTGATGTAGTAGCATGCGAGGTTCCTGCACCAGAGTTCATGAGGGAATCAGGCTCAAAGGCTCCGGTTATGTCTGCAGATGTCGCTGGCATAATGGCCAGTGTATTTGAAGAAAAATCCGTTAGTGAGCCCAGTAAGTCCATCTCAGCATTGTTTGGTGGAATAGTTGGAGAAGCTGAGAAAAGAGAAGTATCTGTGGTTTATTGCCAAAAACCAACAAAATAAAATGGCTAATAGTTTGATATGAGTCACATGAGTGGATTACCTTTAACAGGCACATGTGAGGTTATCTTTGATAGGAACAATGCAAAATGAAATTAACTATTTCTATCATGCTTAAGACTTTTATGTACATATGTCCACAAATACACAATCAGACTGAGATCAAATGCATCTCATTAAAACTATGCATTTAATTGAAACAAGAGATGGACATAATTGAGAGGATACGTTTGTTACCTAATACAAATAATGTTAGACAACTTATAAGTTAGAGTGGTAACCATGGAAAGTAGGATTAGGATATCCCTAATGATAGAATGGAAAACGTTATTATTTGTTTTATTTAATCACTTTTGCCATTTCTTCCCTTACATGCACCAAATTGACATTTGTCCAAATAAAGGGAATTACTTCACTCTATCTAGCATCCAAAAGCCTCTCATCATCTAAATCTCCCTGGTTTGACTTTAAACCATTTGTTAAAATATTGATAGATAATTAAAGTCGTTGTAACCCATCAACTTAAGCTTTTAGATTTGTGGTGATTGAAGCCAGTGGTCCTACGTTCGAACAACTATAATATCAATCTTCTCCAATTAACATTGATAAATCACTTGTTGGCTTACTTTTGTAATTTCATTCATCGATGAAATTGTTTCTTCAACCAAAAAAATAAAGATAATCACTTGTTGGCAATTGTGCAAATTTTCAAGCCCACAAACGGGAGGGAGCGTTAATGCATTGATAAATTATTAAGTTCGCCATAACCCATCAACTTACGCTTTTGAGTTTAATAGTGATTTAACACAATGTTCCCAAATGTCACTATAACACATGAACCCTTAAAAGGATGATAACAAATTATAGGTAGCGATGTAAATGGAGTAACCTGAGGTTAATAGCACTAAATGGAGTAACTTGGGGTTAATAGCACGAAAAACTAATAGAGATTATTTGTACCTGTGACTGAATTGCGTGGGTCAAATTCATCAAAAGTCTCAGTTAACTGGTTTGCAGGTGTCGGAGTACCATGCATGGGACTTGACTGGCTAGGTGCACTAGTAACTGGTGCAGATGAAGTGGCAGAAGCAGAGGTTGAAGTTTCTTGGTCCCTTTCCAATAAGTAAGGTATCAAGTTGACTAAAACGGTTGTTAAAACTGCTAAACTAGAAGTTAAGCAACAGAAAACTATACCTTTCACTATGAGTTGGTGGGCTTCGAGACTCGCTCACAGCCTCCTCATAACTGGGAGGTGCACCAGTGTCTTGTTCTGAAAATCTATGATCATGTCGCCTGCCAAAAGAGATTCAACACTCACAATGAAATTCATAGCACTCAGTAACACCACTATTGCATTAACTTTTTAAGAATTACCTAATGTCCTGAGACCTGTCATCACCTCTGCCACTACCATCACTGCAAGAAAAATAAATACAGGCTAAGTACAAGCCATGCCAAATTTGTACGCCACTTAAGCTCCATAGATGAAAAAGATAAAACAAAATGAATAAGTACTCTCTACAAAACAATATTGAAACTCAATAGTAACTACATTTTTTTTTCTCTGCTATACCAGCAAAGTTCTAATTCTACAAATTTTGCTGCCACTTTACAGACATATCTTAGCAATCCATGCACTAATCATGTTGATTTTTCCACATTTCAATACTATGTACAAATACAACCAAATCAATTCAGAAAAATAAAATGAGCACTTTAAAGAGGACAAAAATACAAATAAAAGAGATAAAAAAACTAAGGGAGAAGGTTCCTTTACATAATAGTGAAAGAATAATAGGTTCCTTTTCATAATAGTGAAAGAACAATTCAATAACACATTGGATACATACCGAGTACTGTCATCACGGTCTCTATCTTGATCCCTTCTTGAACCATATTGGTGATCATCAACACTTCTTCGTCCCCAATTATCACCATCCCTGGGACTATCCCTTCCATAGCATTCTTCACCATCTCTGCTACAGTGGTCTCCATCACGTCTATTTGAGTCAGCATTCCTACCACGGTCATCATCTCTATAGTCATATTCTCTTTCCCTTCCGTAACCATTGCTATTCCTATCTTCATCCCTGCTTCCATAGCGTCCCTCATTAAAATCATCTTCATAACGGTCTCCATATCCTCCTGCATTAGAATTTGAACTTGGCCTATATGCTCCGCCAGCTAATGATGCACTTCGATACCTATTCAGTCATACAAATACCATAATGTTGAACTCAACCATGTTAAACTAATATTAAAGAACTATCCTAATTTAGAAATTCGATTAGCAATTACTGTTATAAAAAAATAATAAAAAAGAGGAAGTAGAAGAAGAAAGAAAGAAAAAGAACAGATGACAGATTTCCTTCATGCCAAAAAATTCTATTTAGTTTTCAAGTTCACCAGGTTTAAAATGCAGGCCCCCACTGTTCTTACAATATTTGACAATGGAAATTTGTTTGAGAAAATAACAGATCAAATAACACCGTGCAGGAATAATAACTGGGAAGATGCAGATTCAAACAGAAGATTGAAGACCAAAAAAGGAGTAGATGACATTGCTAACAAAGAACTGAAGATTCACGAGCTAATTATTATACAAGATTGATCACCAAACTAGAAGCAAATAACATGCAGGCATTAAAAATGATAAACATTTATGCTGCGTGTGAAAACACTTGAGAGAAAATAGGAGAAATTTAATAGATAAGAAAGCAGAAAGAAGATAAAACGTACTATACACACACACACACACATATGTTCTGTTTAACGGATTACACTCACTTGTCCCTGTTAGCATTAGCTTTCTGCCTAACCTCACTGATTCTTTCTGGATCATTCACAAGAGCCACAAGACTCTGTGACTTCTTCCGGACATTTGCTCCTTGATCCCTTCCACTAGAATCGATATATTGAAAACTGGACAGGCCCTGTCATGGAAAATAGAAATAATGATTTAGAGAAACAGAATGACATCCACAGAAAATGGAGAAAACTAAATAAAACAGGTAGTCATAAAGAAAGAAACTAGATTACTGATAATTGGAACGCATGTTCCTTGATGTCGTCTATTACTCTCTCTGATCCATGAGCCACCAGATACTCCAAAACAGTTAAACCCTGAAGCACAAATTTCAAAAAGAAAAAACACGTACCCTCAAAGAAAGCAAGAAATGGACAATCAAGACTGCTTTTTCCTTGAATGATCAAACTTCAAGGACCTCCAAAAAATCATGAAATTTTTTTAAGAAGATGGCTGAAGAAAAAGAACTTTCGGTAAAGAAAAATGAGTGGGTGCGTATGTGGTGCAATATCAAATGCAAAAGAACTAAAACCTTATACACATGCCGCCAATTCTTTCCAGTGTCATTGACACGTTTCCAGATTACTGACATGATCATCTGATACTCATGGCTGCAATAAGGTTTAGAATGAGCTCAATTCTGGTTCAGGCCATCCTTTAAATTTAAAAAAAAAAAAATTGTAATGCTTACTAGTTTCTGCTTGCATTTGCAATATCTGTAAGAAGCAATCCATGAGGGCCCCAAGGCTCATTGCTAGTAGCATCAAGAACCTGCTAGGCAGAGAGAGCAATGGCTATTGTCAGAGTTAGAACTCTCAAATGACCATGTATCACATTTCAAACAATTTTCACCTACAAGAAACAACTATCAGAAAAGAGCTCAAGATACTCATAAAGGGAGAAAAAATTGACCTTCTGCTCTATTCGAGGAACTTTAAGCACCGCCTTATTAACCTCTCTCTTGCTGCAAAAAAATGAGATACAAAAACCATGAAGTAAATAACATTCAAAGAAGAAAATAAAAAAGATAATTGGAAGAATGCCTACGTGAAAGAACAGACCCTGAAATTAATATTTAAAAAAAAAAAAAACTATAGGAAAGTTGGTTGATTTTATATTTTTGTAGCATGGAATGCATTGATTATATAGAATAGGCATACAGCATTGAATCTAAAATTTACAAAGATGATTTCATATACAATTCTTGAAAAACTAGAGCATGTTTGGTTTCAGTTATCTAGTTCAGAGGATAGAGATCATCTTTTGATTCTTTTATTTTTCTCTATTGTTCCTTATAATTATTATGCCTAGAAGTTTTGTAGAATTTCTCCTAGAAGCTTGTGGTGGTTTAAGAATGGGGAGAAAGCTTTGGTCCTTTGGTAGAATGGTTGTAAGCTTCAGTCCTGGTGCCTTTAGTCAGAAGAATAGCAGAGTCTTCATGATATATATAAAAATAATAAAGTATAAATTTTAAGTCAATCTAATTGTCAAGCTTTCACAATTTAAATATGTTTTAAACTCATATCTCGAAAACAGTTTTAGGATACTATGATTTTTAAGTATTAGTTTCTGTATCAGAAATCATAAAGGCCATAAAAATTTTGGAAATTTAAGATACATCTATTTCCTATGACTTCATATTTCATAACTCTTTCCACATATCACATTTTCTGTACCTTCTTAGTAGATTAATTAAATAGAAGTTTTAAACTAATCTTGTAAATTTTAACTCAGAAAACCCAACAATAGTAAAACAAACCATTCAAATAATAGTTAACAATTTATATTATGAATGGATTGCAATGAAAATTCTATTAACACTAAAGTCAATAAATTGGCTTCTGTAAACTTTATAGCGTGATCCAACTTTACATATTTAATTTTCTTAACCTTAAGATTTACAAATCATACTAACAAAAAATAATTGAGGTTGGAAAAGCTGGTCGTTGAACTGTACAATAAATGAAATTATATTATTGTTGGAGAAAGGTAATAAACTGATAATTTGTAGAACTTGTTTTCTACTTTAAATTAAACTTTTACCATCTAGATCTTTAAAAACAATTTAGAATGTTGCAACAAAATATCCTTCTGGAATTCAGAAACATTCGAAATAGAATTTGTATCCCTTTCAGAAATGCACTTCTAAATCATAGACGGGAAATTTAATCAGCTCTACAATATCCGGTGCTTGGATTTTCTTTTATTATCTATGTTCGGGTGCAATAACATGACCTGCATTGATGAAATCATTCTTAAGAATAAAAATGTGATTATTACTCACAGATCCCTAACAGTCTGACCAAAGACCTTCTTCATTGTTGATGCCTTGATGGTACTGAAATTAAAAGCTCCTTTCAACCAGTTCCACAGAAAATTCAAGTGAACCTCACTTCAAAATTTCTGGGCTGTTTCAGAGAAGAACAAGTAAAATAAATGGACTAAGAGAAAGTACCAATCTTTAAAAGCTTATAATATATACTGAAAATCAAGCAAATAACTCATGAAAGCACATGTAGTACGTCAATGTCAGCTACATCATCTCAATTCTCTAGGATTTGCATAGTTTCAACAAATTCTCGATGTATTTGAAAGTTTTTATTCAAATCCATCTCCACCTATGTTGTGCCGATGACATTAACATAGCAGTATATAATTTTAAAGTTCAGTCAATACAATATAAAGGAACATAATTTTCAGGGCATGTAAAAATTAAAAAGAACAGGTAAAAATGAAAAGGGCCGTTTTCTCAATAAGAACAAAAAAGGGGGAAAAAAGTTAACGAACCTTGAAAGCTAGAGATACCAACATCGACCTCTGACAAAAAAAATTAATAATCTAAGTAGAGACACCAATAATTTACAGACACTCTATTTCTAAAAATGTCTGAATTTGCATGATACATAAAAAACTTCTATGAAAAGCCAAGTGCCAAGATTTTGTGGAATTTCACAACTAGAGCTCTTCTTTGGAATATTTGGTTGGAATGGAATCGTCGAATCTTTAAAGACAAAGCCTACACTTTTGATATATTTTTTTTAGAAATGTACAGCACAGTGGTGTCTCAATTATAGCAAATTTCTTTGCACTACAGTCTCTCCATGCTTATGAACAACTAAAAAGCTTTTTTGCAGCCCTTTTTAGGAGGGGTTTCCTCTGCCTACCATGGCAATTAGGTTGTTGTCGCCTTTTTGTTGATACATACAAGTTTCTTATCCAAAAGGAGAAACTGCAATTCCATAGAAATTATACCTTTGTGATATTTTTGTTTCTTTGTTCCTTTCCTTTGCACAGACGCCTTTTATGGTGAGCTGTTTCTATTCTGTACTGTCAGTTTGTATTATTTCATTTGTTCAAAAAGAAAATCAAATTATATCAGTACTCCCAAATGACACTAGCTTGAGTTAAAAAAAAAATGATGGCCATCCGACATTAAACAAACCGCGGAAGGAATCTTCAATTTCCTCGATATTATTAGCTACGTCAGAAATTTCAAATGATTCCGAAGCAAAAATTTACGCAAGATTCCCCATGATTTCCTCAAAACTGACCAACCAAATAGATTGCGTACACATATTTGGAAGTATATAACCAAATGTAGGTTCCAATCAGGATAGGCACGAATAAATGCATTGAACTAGACAGAAATTCACGAGTCACGACCCATATCTCGCATTATGAAAAGCATAAATAAATTCAAGTCGGTGGAAGAGAATTCAAAAATTTCCAACCAAAAGCACAGAAGAAAAACGGACTACCATTGACCTAACTTTATTAAACAAAAAAAAGGCACCCGGATCATTAACCCGTATGACAACTACGATCATTAATCAATCATCCGAAGCAACAAATACCCAATTGAAACAAGAAAAAGGGGAATCCGAATTCAATTCAAAATCCCATTTCCAACAACAACGGGATCATAAAAGTTGAAGAAATCGCAAGATCTGAAAGGAAGCAGGAAAATGATACGTACGAGAGATCATACAAGTCCCCGGAGGTCGGAGGCGGATCAAAACGAAGGAAATGGTTGCACCAGAGTAGAATCGGGAGGCGGATCTGAAGCTCGTTGGAGAGCTTTTTGATTGAGAATGGAAAATGGAAATTGGAATTGGAATGGCTCTGTCGAAGAAATAGCAATGAAAGAGAATGGACGTACGGAGAGACAGTGGAGAACAGAGATAGAGAGACACCGCAACTTGCACGCAGTAATTTAAGGGAACTTTTTTTTTTTTTTTTTCTAATTTTCATTATTGTTTTTTCAATTATTATTCGCTAAAAGTCGATAAAAATGTGGAGGTTCTAGTGAAATTATGGTATCAAGTATACCTGTGTCGATATTTATTTGAGTTCGACATTGACATGAAGGATAAATTGAAATTTCTATCTTATTATAAAAAAATCTAACATAATTATGAAAAATATCAACAATATGTTACAGGTATTTACATAATATTAATATTAACTATTTTTAACTTAATGTTTATTTGTAAACCTAAATATTTTTTACGATTTTTAAATTTCGATAACGACATTGAAAGCCTTGGCTAAAAGTTGACATCGACGAAAATGTCTACTTGAATTAACAAATAAGCATTCTACTCTTGCTAAAAAGTTTTATCATTAATAAATGTCTATATTAGTAATATTTTGTTGCTTTTTCTGTCATTTATGTCAATGTTGAACTCATAGACATAAAAGATGTCGACACGTAAATACAAATTTAATACTCTGATTTCAAGTTTGTGTATGGTAGGTCTGTTGTCTAATAATCTTTAAAATTGGTAAATTTGTGTTTAATAAGTTCCTAAATTTTAAATGTGTTAAATAAAACTTTCAATTTTATGTTAAATACGTCTTTCACATACTTAAAATTTTTTAAAATTAACACATTCATTAGACACAGACTTATAATTTTGTATCTAATAGATTCATACATTTTGAATAGGTCAATCATCTATTAAATATAATTTGAAAGTTCAAATACTAATTAAACATAAATAAAAGTTTGGATAATTATAAGGGTTTTTTTAAGTTTATGAACCTATTAGACACAAAGAGTTCAAGCACTAAATTTGTAATTTAATAAAAAATAATTTTTCAATTTAGTTCTCATTATTTAAAAAGTTGTAATTTAATCTCTTTGGTTTAGTATTTTTCAATTATACTTTTATCATTGGTGGATGTTAAAATTTAGTTTTTAATTTAAATATTTCTATTTTATTTTAGATTAAATTCCAAGTTTGGTGCATATATTATTTGTATCAAAGAAATTGGTGTCTTCGAATTCTAGCTTTGTTGGAGGATCTTTGAGATTTTCGACTTGTAACTTGATGAAGTTTATGACTTGTAGCTTGATGAAGTTCTTCAAACTCAAGTTTGTTGAAGATCTTTGAAGTATTCAGTATTCAGCTTGTTGAAAATCTTTGAGATATTCAGCTTATAGTTTGATGAAGTTCTTTAGCTTTCAACTTAATGAAGTATATTTGGCTTATTTGGTCACTATATTTTCAAAACTTTTATTTGGGTCTTTGTGTTTTAAATTTGTTGTTCAATTTAGTAATTGTACTCTCAAAATGTTTATTTTGATCCATGTAGTTTTAAAAAGTAACTAATTTGGTCTCATATTTGCAAAATTTGTAAACATTAATTTTATAACATTTTTTTAATACAAAATTATGGCTATATTTCTAGACACTTCAGTGTTAGAATTATGATTGAAATAATTGAGATAAAAATGAAAATGAATAAATAAAAATGGTTACATTTTAAAAGTACATGGACCAAATAGACGTTCTCAAAAGTTAGAGACTAAAATGAACAAAATTAAAAATATAGAAACAAAAATGAACCTTTTAAAAGTACAACTCAAGAGTATATGGACTAAATTAATATTTAAATATTTTTATAATTTGAAAATATTTCGAAAAGATTTTGGAGGATTCTCACATTCACATGGGTAATTTATTTGTTAAATTTTTTTTTAAGAAATAATGTAATTTAAAAAATAACTAAAATAGTGCAATTTTCAAATTAATGACAAAAGAATGTAAATTAAATAAAAAAAATTAGAAAACTAGGTATACATCTGACCATTAAAAAAATATAGTAGTTTTTAGTGAAAGTAAAAAATACGTACCGTCTAATTTAAGAGTGTCGTAAATCTGATGTGGAAGTTAAGACGATAGAAATTATATACATGATATACAATTTAAGGAAAATCGTATCCATTGTACACGATTTCTTACCTTAACTCAAATAATTTTTTTTATTTATTAAAATATGAATAAAAAATAAAAACAAATGTAATGGTGTTCTTTTTCCATTTTATACCTCAACGGGTTAGATTCTAACCTTTGTGTCTACAATTATTTTATCTGTTTTTTTAATTATTTTTTAACAAGAAAGAAAGAAAGAAAGAATTGGTATGTTTACTATTATTCCTTTACTAACAAAAAAAAAGTTATTTTCTTATTTACTCTTTATATATTTTTCTTAACAACTTTATATTTTTTAACAACAAAATATTGTTAGGTTTGTATTATTTTTTTTATAAAGTAGGTTATTTTTATTTACTATTTTTTTAATATAATGTGGGGATGAGAATTTGGACTCATGATTGGAAATTGGTGTGACTACGCTCAGGTTGACAAAGTTGTTTTTATTTTAAAGTATATAAAAACACTTCATTAATTTGTTCAATATAACTGATTTTACTAAGATTTATAATTTTTTTATGTAATTAATCTTCTAAAAATAAAGTGTAAATTATTGACTTTTAAAGGGAGAAAAAGAATTTTTATACATTTTAAAATAAAAATAAATTCTTTTATGAAATAGCATAAAAATAAAAATATATAATATAAATAAAATAATACCTTTTTCAAAAAATAAAAATAACTTCTTTTTGAAATGATATAAAATTAACAAATTTTTTTGATTAAAAAATATTGAAAGTAAATAAAAAAACAATTTTTATAGTAAACAGATTATATAAAAATAACACACACACACACAGATATATATATATATATATATATATATATATATATATATATTTGTTAAAGAATATAAATAATAAGAAGAAAACAACCTTTTATACAGTAAAGAAACGATATAATTTATTTTTGGTTAAAAAATGTATTAAAAAACAGTAAACATAAATAATCAATAAATAAATAAATAAAACAGTAAAAAAAAAACAAAAGAAAAAAACGGCATGAAGGATCAAACCCATGCCATAGGGGAAAATATTCTTTATAATATAATTAATTTAATGGCCAACCAAAATATTTTTCAACCGATCAAGACATTTGTATCCGACCATGAGGTCATGAGTTCGAATATTCATCATTTTGTACTAAAAAAATATTAATGAGAAAATTTTCTATACTACCATAGTTTAGATACTACTGTTATTTATTGTATGCCACGTCGCTTCATCATTCTTTTGTTAACTGGAGAACAAAACTTTGATTGTTTCAGGGTCATCAAATCAGCTTTTTTGGCGACATTTTTTAATTGAGGTGGAAGATATATTCGAGACAAATTATAATTGTCGTTGTAATTACATTAATGACAATTTCTAAAATTTATTAAAAAAAATGACGATTTTTAAAAAATTGTCAGGTTCTATCTTTCCTTGATGTCTTAATAGACGACAGTTATTAACTGTCATGAATTAAATTAATGACAATTTTTAACTGGCACTGTAATCTATATTCATAGTAGTGTTCCCGTACTATACAAAATTTCCCAGCTTAATATATTTCCTTGTCAATGAAACATTGTGTGCATTTGCGCACGATTTCTGCAGGCTACCACGTGGCTCTAGCTAGCATAAATCGTGGCCAATGTATGCCATTTACCCTAAATCGTGGCTTATATACACGATTTATATCTACCATAGGGCTAAATTTTAAAATTATTTTCATAAAATGATTTTCAAAACTACTGTTTTTAAAAATACATTATTTAAAAAAAATATTCCCACATCTTGGCTGTCACGTCGAAGGCTGAAGTTTGGAATTTTAATTATTATATTAAAAGAAAAGAGTTTAATTAATTAAATAAAAAGGGGAAAATATTTGTTAAAAGGTCAAAGTCATGATATTGCAAGAATAACAATAATGCAATGGGCATTTGGGTAGGTGACCAGCTGCATTGCATTGGACAGCTGATGTATTAAATTTTGGGACTTGGAGCAATTTCCCTCATTTTTATTCTAAACTTTCGATTTCATCGAAGTGTACCTCAAACGTTAAAAAGATGTTGCAATCTTTACAGTTAACTTGAAAAATTATTGTGATCTTTACTCTAAACTTAAAATAAGTTTTTTTGTTTTTTATAATTCGAGTGGGAGCTTTTTTGCTCTACTATATCCAAAAGGACACGCACCTGGTCCAAGGCCCGAACTCGAGAGACATCAAGAATTTTTATATTAAGTTTAATGGAATATTCAAACATAAGACCTCTAAGCTGGTATTATCAAAAGACCCAACGTCATTGCCAACTGAACTGGGGAGCCTAAACTTAAAATAAGTGTTACAAATATTTTTACCTATAGTTTTCGTTTGAAAAATTATTAAAAAACAAAAAAAAATTTCTCATGTGCGTGAATTATAAGACATAGGTATAACATGAAATTGATATAATTTCGAAGAAAAAGGAGTATTTTTACTTAAATTTGTAAGCTTTGAAAAAGTTATTAAATATGATTGATTTTGTGCACTGGTCCATTCTAATTTTTTGCAAAGCTTGATTTTTATTTAAATTAGCGAGTTTTTGAAAATTTTTTACGATTTCTTAAAATTAGTGGAGACTTAGTGAAATTTGATTCGAAGGTTAAAATTTCAACACTTATTTAAATCTATGGTCCAATTTCATGAAATGAAAATTTATAATAAAAAAATTAATATACCTTGCCAAAAATAGTTTTTTTCCTTAATTTTTTTATTTCATTATTGTTTCTTTTTTCTCCGGATCTTCCCACATTAAAAAAGAATAAATAATTGTTTAAGCGAACTTAGCGTTTAATTGACATGTATTTCAAACTAAAAAGTTGTGAGTTCAAACTAATTGACACGTGTTGTACTAAAAAAATTATCCAAACAAATTTAATTTATAATTACCAATATAATTATTGTACTTAATCTATAACTTTAAGTCTAATCATGCCAACTTGAGTATGATTTAACG